CTTATCACCGAGTCTTGTTGATTCTCCTACCAAATGTCTTCTAAATCTATCTCTCTCTGTTCCACCCCAATTCAGGCTCTCATCATTTTTATTTTAAAACTTGGGATACTACCATTGGCTCCTAACTGGCCCCCAGTCTCATCTCGCTCCATTCTTTAATCTTCTACCAATGACTTTCTACACTTGATCTTAGCCAAAAGGCCGAGAAGCGATTGCCAATGACTTTCTTAAAAGCAAAAACTGATCACGTCACTTCATTGGCATAAAATCTATCAATGGCTTTCCACTGCTGTTAGGATACAGTTTGAACTCTTTGACCTACCACACAAAGTCTTTGATTATTTGCCTCCTTTCGACCATCAATATTGACCCCAAATACTTGTAGTTCCAGAAAAATGCCATGACTTTTGACAGTTTCCTCCACCCTTTCCTTCCACACCCTTCAAATCTCAAAACAGCCATAACCTCCTCCAGGAAGTTTTCCATGATGCCCACTGTCCCTGAAGTTAAATACCGTTTGCTGTGCTCCCATAGCACCTCCGTAATAGTTCTCACCGTGCTATACTGTAATTGTCTAGCTCCTCCGGACGGTAACTTTCTAATTCGTCCATTTTTTTCTCAGCATGTGGTTTTGTACCTGGCACAGAGTAGGTGCTCAGAAGACATCTGACGAATATACGATTGAATAAAAGAAGTGTTACTGCTCTATGGTAGTCTTTAGAGAAAGAACATTTGGGCATCAGAAACACCAGCACCCCTCGTCCCCGGCGCCTAGAACGGTGTGCTCAGGCGCACAGCCGGCCCATGTCCCGTCATTCTCCCCGCCGGCCACTGGGGGCGCTGTGAGTCCGGCTCCCGCTGCCCGCCGCCGGAATTGGTCATGCCGGACGGAAGCTGGGGGGGCGGGGCCGGACGGAGCCTGGAAGGACCCGGGAGGAAAAGCAGAGTCCTTGTGGCTGTGCTGCCCCTCCCCTGGTCCCGGCGCGCCTAGAGGGGCCCGGCGGGGGTGCTGCGAGGGCTCCGGGAGGTACGGAGCTGGGAGGCCACCGCGTCCGGGCCGCCTTAGGTGGCGGGTCTCTGCCTCCGATTCCCTCGGGGGGAATAGGTGGCAGAAGCCCTCTGGCAGTCTCTCTTAGGGGTATCCCTTAGTTGCGGGGCCCGCAGGCGGGAGGAGGGGTCTGTATCAGGAGTTTACTCGAGAGGTCTCTGTTTGGGACACCTTTTGGGAGTACATCTGTATCTGCTGTCTGGGGCAGTCTTGGTGTGGGGTTCCTTCTGGGAAGCCTATGTTTGGGATGCCTTCGACGAGATCTCTGTCTGGGACCTCTTCGGCGAAGGGGTTTCTGTGTCAGCCTCCTCATCCTGCTTTGTCAGTTGAAGGGCAGCACAGATTTTCTCCTTTCCAAAGCCTTTTCCCCTTAGATTCTTTGACTCATTTCTTTCTTGTCTGATGTTCTTCATCTTAGCCATGGACTTGACTGGGAATTAGAGGGAATTAATTGTTGTCCAGGTAAATCATACAGGAAAGCAAAATACCCTCCTTGTTTGCTCACTCTCCCCACGAAGAGCGGCTTAAGACAGATCCATACAAAACGGGATCCCTGCTTATTTCTCCATGGAGTCATGGTTTAAGACCGGAAGCTGAGCCAGAGCTCCCTTCAGCAACTGGTCTTCCACATCCTGTGCACAGAAGGAAACCTGGGCAGTGGTTCCTTTAAAGCAGAGACTCTCTTCCCCCTTTATGGCATCATTTACTGAGAACCTGTCCTGAGCCAGTTACTGGCCCTGTACTGGTTATAACAGAGATGAATAAATTATAGCTCACTGTCCAGTAACAGACATAGACACATCATTCCAGTACACCCTGACCCTAGGAGGGGACAGACAGTGCTGAATCCCTGAGGCCTGTGTATTCTGTCCAGATCCTGGACTCTCAGTTACGGGAGATCTGCCCACTTTTTCATCCCACTTAACCCAGTGTGCCTCTGTTTTTCAGGGTTGAAGGCTAAGCATGGGGAAGAGCTGCAAGGTGGTCGTGTGTGGCCAAGCATCTGTGGGCAAAACATCAATCCTGGAGCAGCTTCTGTATGGGAACCATGTAGTAGGTGAGTGTTGTTGGGGCGGGGGCATGGTGGAAGAAGTTGAAGAATAAGTAGGATTTGATCACAACACGAAAAGGCTACCTTTTCGGTGGTGGTGGTTATTGCACCCCACAGAGTAAAACTGCATAATGACCCCAACCCTAGCATATTGAAATCCGGAGAGAGGAAACCCAATACTTGAGCTAGGGAGGAAAAGCTCTCAAGTCACACTTTTGCTTAGCATGGAATTAGCATGAGATTAATGTCTATTCCCCCCCCCCCACATACACAAGTCATCCAGTCCTGCCGGACTGTCCATCCCTGGCCCTCTCTCCTCGGCCCCACATTCCTTTCTCTCTGGCTGGTAAGCCTTTTAGGATATACTCAGTCACTCATGTTTCCCACCTTCCTTCTCTCTACAAACAAGTTTTCTCTTCATCTTGTCCCAGGTTCTGAGATGATTGAGACCCAGGAAGACATCTATGTGGGCTCCATTGAGACCGACCGGGGGGTGCGGGAGCAGGTGCGTTTCTATGACACCCGGGGGCTCCGAGATGGGGCTGAACTGCCCAGGCACTGCTTCTCCTGCACCGATGGCTATGTTCTGGTCTACAGCACGGACAGCCGAGAGTCCTTTCAGCGTGTGGAGCTGCTCAAGAAGGAAATCGACAAATCCAAGGACAAGAAGGAGGTTTGTGTGTGCAGGGGACACTGGTGATGAGAGGGAGTAGGCCCTGGGCTAGTTTTGGGGAGCCTGGCATGGCTGTTTTTCATTCATATCTCAGGAGATGGGGTAGGAGCTAGAGGGGGGATGGAGGCCACTGGAGGCGGTCTTCCCTCTGGAGGTGGCCGTGTGTTGAGGCAGCTCAACCAGAGAGGCTTTTCTTTAGTTTCAGGGGTTCCTGACCTAACTCCAGAAGCCCCCACTAATCTTTCTTGATGATGGTTCCTTGCTCTTAGCTGTGAAGGCCCTTCTGTTCTCAAATCCCCCTGTAAGCTGCAGGTATTTGGAGGGGTGCTCCCTTACCAGTTGTTTAGACAGACTGATAGCTAGTAACGAGCAGGCGTAGGTGATACAGGGTTTATAAGGGAACTCCTGGAGGGAGGGCCAGATGGAGGCCAGAATTTAAACAGAGGAAGGAGAGGACAAAGCAACTATCTCCCTCTCCCCAGTTACTGTTTCTAATATAGGAAGAGGTGAAACGTTCGCCATTGAGACTTTCCCTTCTCTTAGGACTCCTAGGTAGGTGCCTGCCATCACACCCAGGCCTGAGGTCCACAGTACATCCTCAGGTCTCTACTCTGTCTTCCCCAGGTCACCATCGTGGTCCTGGGCAACAAGTGTGACCTGCAGGAGCAGCGGCGTGTCGACCCAGACGTGGCTCAGCACTGGGCCAAGTCCGAGAAGGTGAAGCTGTGGGAGGTATCTGTGGCCGACCGCCGCTCTCTGCTGGAGCCCTTCGTCTACCTGGCCAGCAAGATGACCCAGCCCCAGAGCAAGTCTGCTTTCCCCCTCAGCCGCAAGAACAAGGGCAGCGGCTCCTTAGACGGCTGAAGAGCTGCCATTCCCTCTCCACCTACCCAGCCTCATTCCAGCTTCTGGGGCTCTGGAGGATGTGTCCAGGGGTGGGGTTAGGCAAGCTGTCCCTCCCAGGCCAGGCAGCTGGGCTGTCCCAGGCTCAGGTCACTTTTGCTCCCTCCCAACTCTGGGAAGTGCAGATAATCGAGGCTAGTTCCCCCAAATCCTCCCTCCCCTCCAGCTCTCATCATCCCTGCCCTGCTGTGACCTGAGGCAGTTGTGGGTCAGTGTCCCCTCCTGCCTGCCCTGGCTGGGAAGCAGAGCCACCATGCAGAAGTTCCCAGTCCAGGCTCTGGTTTGTCACAGGGGTCCCCCCACCTGTGGGTTTCCTGCCAGTGACACACACACACACACTCACACCTATGGCACCAGCCTGGACTCTGGAGAAAGGCATCTGGGTATCGCGTACATGCATGTAGATGTGTGCACGCGTTCATGTGTGTGCCTGCTGGTGTCCAGCTCTGACTGGCCTCTCCTTGGCTGGAAGAAGCCAGCCGCCTGGGAAGTGTAATTTTCCGCTTTCACTCTCCACCCCCGGCCCAAGTTGTTTTGCTTCCTCTTCCTGCTCAGGGAGCACACACGGCCCTCATTGGCTGAGATGGAATGGAATGAAGGCTGGGCTTCATCCGTTGGCTTTGGGACCCTGCAAGGCCTTTCTCCTCTCTGGGTTTCAGTTTTCTCATCTGTAAGGTGATGGGAGTTGCTTAGATGATCTTCTGGATCCTTTCCAGCCCTCAGATTTTCTCATGCCCGTGGCTTCGGGCTGGCTGTTACTGTGCCCTGGCTTCTGCCTCTTCAAGGTGCTATGCCTCCTGGCCCTGGAGGCTGAGACACTGCTCCCCCGAACCACCAGGGGGCAGGCGTGCACTGTCCGCTCTAGTGGCCAGAGTGGCTGCCCAGTGCCCACTCAGCGGACCTCACACCGGTGGGGCCTGGTCTTCACCCCTTCCTGTGGTTGTTTTTGGCTAATAGCTGGACTTCTATTTATAAATTACTTGTGTTTCTCTGCCTGCTGCCATGGTGAAGGCTGGACAAGGTGCTCCTCTAGCCCCTCCTTACCTCAGATGCCTGAACAGAACAAGGCAAACCAGTAGCAGCTTCTCAGGAGCTGCCAGATCTGTCGGAACTCAGAAGGGTGGTTACACTTTCAACATGCTATAAAGTGAGCTTGTCACCCACAACTCCCCATGTCCACTTCATGCTTCTAATGTGCACACCCAGCGTAGATGAGATGCTAGAGCCAGGTGACTTCTAGTACACACCCCTTCTCCCCAAGACGGGAGAGGCGAGCAGGACGGGCCACCCAGGGCTGGGCGAGTCGAATTAGGGCATATACAGGCTCGGGCTTGAATTCATTTATTGATGTGTTGGACACAATAAAACCACAACTGTTATCAAAAAGTTTCCCTTCCCTCCCCCCTTCTTGTCCTCCCATTGGAAATATCTAAAAAAAGAAAAGATACAGGTGGATACTGGCAAAGTCCCATATTGTGGGATGAAGGAGCAGTGCTGGGGGTGGGATGGGGGTTGTGACATTGACTTTGACAACATGAAAATAGGTCTTGAGAGTATGTCATCCTGGATCCCAACACTCCGTTTCACAGTGAAGGGGGCTGGGTGCTAGTTGGAAGGAGGGGAAGCTGAATTTGGTGTTAGGGACCAGCTTGGGGTGAGGAGCTGGAGGGGAAAGCTGTTTGGGAGCCCTGGCGTAGGGAGGTTGGTGTTTGCTGGGTCCAGAGTCTGAGACCCAGTGCTTCCCCCCACCCAGGTGGGGTTCACAAGGAATCAAAGGCTGAGGAGAGAGCTTGTGTGGGGTTGATCACCTCTGTTAAAACTGGGCCCAGCCAGAAAATCACCCTCACCTACCCCTCTCCTAGCGCCATCTTGTTAGAGCAAAGGAACCCCAAAAGCCTTCAGCCCCAGCCCCATTTTGGCTTTGCCCCCACGTAGCACTGCTCCCTTTCTCCTCCACAGTCTTCTTCCACTCCCCCAGGGTCACCCTGTCCAGATAGCCTTGAACCCTCTCCAGCTTGAGACCCCATCTGCCACCTCAGTGATTCTCTGGAGAATCGAGTAAATGGGGAGGGCCTCCCCTGCAGACTTGTCCCCAGCTCAAAGTTAAGATTCCTAGGGCCTCTGGCCATGGGGGTATAGGTCTCGAGTGGGGGAAATGAGAGCACCATGGGGCTGGGGCTAGGATTTTGCATAGATCTTTGGGATTTCTCAGTTTGCTCCCCATAAATCAGGCTGGGCAATGCAGGGGAGCCCAGCAGTAGCCTGAGAAGGCTGGGGAAAGGAGGGTGGATGGAAGGTCCTTGGGCCAGGAGGGTAGTAGTGGAGTCCCTAGACCAGACTGGGTAAAGGCAGATGCCCTTGAAACTAGCCCAGCTCTTCCTAGATTGGGCAGGAAGCCCTCGGCTGTAAAAGGCAGTTTCCTGGGGATGGAGGAAACTGAGGCATCTTGGGAAGAGGAAGTGGGGACAGCAACTGCTGGGAAATGAGCCCTGGCCTCCCCAGGAAGCCTAGTAGGGGGCAAAGACAATGGGCCCTGTGGCAGGGCGGACAGCTCCTGCTGGGGTACGAAACAGAGCTGGGCCCAGGATGGGAGCTGGGAAGAGGGTGGTGGCTGCTGTGGGAGCAGGCCGGAGGGCCAGGGGCCCTGGCAGGGCACAGATGGCAGCAGCTGCGGCTGGGATCGGGCTGGGCAGAAAGCGGGCCGCCAGCGTCTTGGTGAGTTGCTTCTGCAAGGCCAGTTTCGACTGCAGAGAGGAGAGAGAGGAATGGACCCAGTCTGACCCAGGAAAATCCACCCCCTCCCGGGGCTCCATCCTTGGGCTTTCTGCTGCAGGAAAGACGTGCCTTTTAGGGTTCCAAGCCTAAATCCTCCCTTCCCACCCCCAAACACTCATTCCAAAGGGCTTTCTCCACCACCTGTCTTCCTGCCCAGGGGAAGGAGGCTGTGGGGGCGTGGGGGCAGAGATGGTCTCTAGGAGATGCACGCCCACCCCTTGCTCTTGACCCACCTCCCCGGAAATTCCTCTGGGCAGATCCCAAGATGGCCAAAAACACCAGCCCAGCTCTCCCTCAGCCTAGGCAGCCTTGAAGGTCGCGGGAGGGAGGGTGGCTTCCTTCCTGCCCCACCTTCTCCCCGCCCCCCCTCCAGTCTCCCCACCTTGCCCTTCTGGTCCACTCCCTCCCACTCCGAACCCGGGCCCAGCCCTGTTGCCTGGAGACAGATACCTTGAGGACACTCACAGCCAGCGCTGCATGCTTCTGCAGCTTGCTGTGCTGGCTGGAGGGCTTGGGGGGCTTCCCAGCCAGGCGGTCTTTGTGTCTCCTGCTGCTCAGGTGCTAACGGACAAACAGACAGACAGACTGGCAATGGGATGAGGAAGCCCAAGGACCCCCCCACAACCCTATCATCCTCAACTAGCTAACCCTTCCTCCACCCGTGAGTTGCATGTTGGACACACATTTGTGGGGTGTCACCCTGGGAAGCGGAGGTGAGACTTGGCCTTTGCCCTCCAGGAGCCCTCTGTCCTTCCAGCTTTGCTCCTCTTCCTTTACTGGCTCCCTCCGGGCACCCGACACCAGTTCCACCCCCTCAGCCCTGCTCCAGCCCCAGTCCCAGCCTCACTTCTCCCACCTGCTTGAGCTGGGTCTCTGAATTGACTTGGAGCTGACACAGAGCACAGTGAAAAGGAGGGCTGGGCCCCTGTCGGCCCCCCTGGCCCCCTGCCACTCTCTTGGCCTTGTGTCCAGCTCCCCGGGGAACTGGGCGGCCCCGGCCCCTTCGGGGAGCACCTCGCTGACCTTCCACCATCCACCGGTGCTTGGCTCCTGAGGGAGGAGGGAAGACAACCCATCAGCACCGAAGAGGAGCTGCAAGGGCCATGGAGACCCCCCCCACACACCGAACTAGGTCAGTCTGGCTGCCCCATCAAGCCTCCAGCCACCTGAGAGTTCTCTTCCCCACCTCCGCGAGGTCCTCCCAGCTTCAATCATTTTCCGCCAGCCGCCCCCCACACCCAGGCCTTCTTGGGGTGGAACTGCACGGCTTCCCTTTGCTCTCATCTCCTGCCTTCCTTCTGGGTCTGACCTATGGACAGACGGAGGAAGTGTTTCCGGCCTTCTCCCAGTGACCCTTCAGTCCTTGCTGCCCCAGACTTCTCTTCCCAATTCTTCCACCTCAAAAACCAGCTGGAGGAGCCAGAATACCCACCCAATCACAGCTGAACACAAGGCCTGTGTCACCAGGCCCTTGAGACAAATGCCCAGAAAGTCCAGCCTGCGTGCAGCTGGGGAGGGCCGGCTGCCTGCCCTCTCCTCTCCTAGACTCCAGCGCACTGACCTGTGTTGTGAGCCTGAAGCTGGGAGGCAGAGTTCACTGTCACCTTGCACGTGGGGCAATAGAGGCGCCCCTTCTCGCTCCTGCCCTCCACACTCACACCAGTTCCCACAGCAGCAGCTGCTGGCTCAGGCCCTGGCGCCTCTCTCCCAGGCTCTGGGGAGCAGGGTGGGCAGGAGGAAGAAGAAGAGGAGGCAGCATCCAAGAGGTCTGAGTGGGCCGGCTCCCTGGGCGTGGGGTCCGGAGTCAGCGGTGGCTGGTGTTGGGGTCCAGGAAGAAGGGCCTCAGGAACTGCTGGGGAGATGGAAGGCATCGGGTAAGAATCATCTCGAGACCATGATTTTAAGTAGTGATATACTGGGGGTGGCATGGCCGAGTGGAAGCATCCCTGACGTAGGGATGACCAGCAGTGAAATCCAGACTCCACGCTCCCACCAACTCACTGGGCAGACTTGGGCCTCTTTGGGCCTCAGCTTCCCCATCTGAAAATATAAAGTTGGACAGAGGGGTCTCAGAAAGCCCTCACAGCCCTGATACTTCAGAATTATTAGCTAACTGTAAAATAAGTGGAAGTCACCAAAAAGATGCACTGGAATATTCATAGAGCAGTATTCATAATAGCATAAAACTGGAAACTCTCCAGGGTGCCTGGGTGGCTCAGTTGGCTGAGCATCTGCCTTCAGCTCAGGTCATGATCTCAGGGTCCTGGAATCGAGCCCCGCTTCTAGTTCTGCACTTAGTGGGGAATCTGCTTCTCCCTGTCCCTCTGCCCCTCCCCCTTGCTCATGCTCGCTCTCTCGCTCTCTCTTAAATAAATAAAATCTTTTTAAAAAAGATAAAACTGGAAACTATCCAAACGTCCATAACAGGAGAGCAGATTTTAAAAAAGAGTTGTATGGTCACGCAAGAGGGCTCTACACAGCTTCATGCAACAACACTGAAGAGGCCAGGTACAAAACCTCCCTACTACAGGATTCACCAAAACCAGGAGCAACTGATCGATGGCAAGAAAAGTCAAGATCACTTGGGGGAGGGGCGTAGGTAGTTAAATAGTGTTGCCCCCAAATTCACGTCTGCCTGAAACCTCAGAATGTGATCTTATTTGGAACCAGGGTCTTTGCAGATGTAAGTAGTTAAGATGAGATCATAGTGGACCAGGGTGGACCCTAATCCAATGACTGGTGTCATAAGAAGACCATGTGGAAATAAAATAGGATAAAAACAGAGAGGGAGACAAACCACAAGAGACTCTTAACTCTAGAAAACAAACAGGGTTGCTGGTGGGGAGGTGGGGGGGATGGGGTAAATGGATGATGGGCATTAAGGAGGGCACCTGATGCAATGAGCACTGGGTGTTGTATGCAACTGATTCTACCCCGAAACTAATAATACACTATACGTTAACTAATTTGAATTTAAATAAAACAAAACAAAACAAGACCATGTGAAGACACAGAGACATGGGGAGAATGTGATGTGAAGACAGAGGCAGAGATTGGAGGGATGCATCTATAAGCCAAGGAACGCCAAAGATGGTCAGCAACCACCAGAAGCTAGATGAGAGGCGTGAGACAGATTCTCCATCTGAGCCCCATCCCATCAACACCTTGATTTCAAATTTCTCACCTCCAGAACGGTGAGAAAATAAATGTCTATTGTTTTCAGCCACCCACTGTGGGGTCATTCACTGTGGTAGCCCTGGGAAGCTAATACAACGAGGCAGTGACTGGGGGAGGGGGCATCAAGGAGGGCTTCTGAGCGCCAGTGCCATGTTTCTTGATCTTGGTATGTTCAGACTGGGAAAGTTCGTTGAGCTCAACACTTGTGATGTGTGCCTTTTTCTGTATGTATGGGCTACCCCAACATAGACAAAAATAATAAGCAGAAATCTCCCAACCCCTCACCAGAAACCAGATTTGGATTGGGGAGTGGGGAGGGGAGGGAGAAGAGTTCAGGACTGACCTTTGTTCTGCGGCTCTCCTGGGGATCCACTGGCTGAAGTCGGGGTTGGGGACACCAGCACCCCATCCTGGGCCAGGGTTTGTGGCCTCTGCTTGCTCTTGGCAGCTTCGACAGCCTTGAGTTTTCTGGCGTGTTTGTGGCCTTTGTAATGTGCTTCGGCTTGGTTCTGGGGAGGGGAGGGCTTGGGGTCACCATTTATTTGCTGAGTCTGCATGCCCCCTCCATGAGCTGGTGCTGGGCAGGGGGCAGATCAGAGGGGGCAGGGCTTCAGCCAGACAAGAGGGGAATCCTTGTTTTGTTTTGTTTTTTAAAGATTTTATTTATTTGACAGAGAGAGACACAGCGAGAGAGGGAACACAAGCAGGGGGGGTGGGAGAGGGAGAAGCAGGCTTCCCGCTGAG